CGACTAGAAAACGCCTGCGGGGGAAAACGGCTATCGTATTCGGCATTAGCATGGTCGATTACCTATTGTCCACTAGGTTTTAAGCCAAAAGCGATGGGGCAGTTGGTGGCCTTCCCTCGTTAGTCTAGTAAACTCAGGAATGAGAGTATTTTTTATTAAAGAGTTTATGTTTTTGAGCATGATTATAATTCACTCTATTTCATATTTAGGATCTGGATCTTTATTCGATGGTAGTATACTTGCCAGTGAAGGTGATATTATTGTTATTACAATGAATTTTCGTTTAAATTATCATGGATTTTTAAGCACTGGTGATGAACGTATAAAAGGTAATTTTACGAAGATATTTTAGAGATAAATATTTTTTAGAGCACGAGTTTCACTGTTCGAAGAAACGAATGAATATGTTTTTACAGTAAATGGAGTTAAATAAATATAAATACTATAAAATACTATAAATAAATATATATAAATACTGTATTTTTATAGCTCAAGAGAGCGAAACAGAAGTCATCTATACTTCGTAAAGATTGAATTTATTTATTTGATAATTTAACAGATTGTTATTGAAGAGATTTTTTTGAATGTAATATAGAATATCACTGGATATACCGTAAATTCCATATGTTACCTAATATATGTTGATATTTGCTTTCTAGTCTTTATATTATTAAGTTTTTCAAAACAGAAAATAGAACAGTGTTTTAATCCCACTCTTTCCGTTTGTTGAAATAGTTAATAAACAATTTCATACCTTCGTTTTGCTTCGTTACTGACCACTATACTCTTATCAGCTCATATTTTTCTAGTCATTTGTCGAAGGTTAAAGTGTTAATCAGTTGATGTTGTTTTTGTTTCATTTAAGAGAAAACTATATCCGTGCTTTGACAACAGTTGCATTATTTTTTCCGAATTCATGTGAATTTTTTTTCAAAACTCGTAGTGAAATAAGGAACAAAACGTTGCTGATAAAGAATTATATTGAAGAAATTCATGATTAATTCTGATTGCTTTCCAGCTGGCTACCAAAACCAGAGTTGTAAAAAAGTCGTTTGTAGTATATTTGGTATACCTGGATCACTGATATAATAAAAAGTGTACTTTTCGGACAGTTCACGTGTCAAATATATGTATCGTAACATTACTTTATAAGAAATTGCGTCTGGCAGCTGCAGGCACAAAATGAATTTTACAAAATTTTTAGCCCTTTGTGGCCGGATGTTGCTGAATGGCAACAAGTGCATTTTTTACTGTTGAGAAGCATTGAATATGTTAGGTCAGCAGTTCTACTCCGCAAAATTAATCTAGTTCTCGGCATAAAATCTTCGGACAGAGAAGAAACAAGTTTTTATGATTTGAACACTCTTCTAAGACTCTATGTGTGGATCTAATCACACGCCTGGAAAAAGAATATTTTTTGTTCCCGAGTGTATGCATACGCACCACCATGTATAATGGTGGTGCTTTTAAAACTGTAATAATTATTCAGTTTTAAAAAAGGATATATACTTTCACAGTGAGTCAATCCCCACAAAGATTGACTCAATGTTGCTAAATGGCAACATCCGACTGGAAAGGGTTAATTTCGTCTGTTTACCGTTTCATTCAGTCGACTTTCCAAACTTCCCGCAGGGCACTTGGCTCTCTGGTTAAGTCGACTGGTCTTTCTTTCCACACACTTTTCTCGCTCGAGTTAGCCACTTGTTCTCAGCTGTCACTAATCATACAGAATTGAGAAAAACATCATTCGAGAGTGCAACAGCTGTAGATGATACATCGGAAGTGATTTTTTCGATATATGTTTTAATTATTAAGCAATGAGTCCCAAAAGTTAGGCTACCGGTAGAATGCATCAAAATGTTGATAACTAGAGCACTACCTTATGCTTATAAAACAGAATTTCTTGTGACTAATTTCATTCGATTCCCCGTTTAAAATAATCAATACATCCAAGTTTGCAAACTATACTCTCTAAAAAAAATGGTTCCTAACGAAACCCTTTTCTGCTTTATGCTTTTCTGCTTTTCTGCTTTATGCGAAACCTGAACGTGGTTTCGCATAAATTGACGAAACTATTTAAGGTTTCGTAGGTCATTACAGAACGATTTAGGATTTAATAGGTTTTAGCCAAACCATTTTAGGTTTCGTGGACCAAAAGGTTTCTACATTTGAAACGAATTCGAAACCTCAAGCAGAAAAGGGTTTCGTTAGGAACCATTTTTTTTTAGAGAGAAGGGATGTTTTTTGTATTGAGTTAAAGAAATTTCAAAAGTAGGTACTCTTTGTAACTAGTGTTGCTGATATCAAGGAGCATGTGTAGATACATGTGCCGTACATATTTCTACATATACCAGCTAGTCACTACTCTTGAATATCAGCCCTTGAGGAAACATTATCTAAGAAAAATCTTCGTCGTAGAATCAGGGATTCGGTTCAACTGACAGATCCACTTCACCGTCGAAACGATTTAGATCTATGCGAAAATTTATACTAAAAAGGCCTTTGCTCTCTAGAAAGAACACGTAGTAGTTGTATAATATTCAGGGGTAGTGACTAGCTAGCATATGCATCCACACATGCTTCTTGTCATCAGCAACACTAGTTATTAATCGAACAACATATAACTGATGTTAAAATGCTAATTTTAGCATAATTCATGATTATATTTGCTGTAGTGATACTCATTGTGAGCGATTTGTTGACACTTTGCTGTCCTTCTAATTGTTGTTGAGAGTTATTATATTATCCAATGAAACATCATTATTAATTATTCATAAGATATTCCTTTCTAATATATTTCACTATCGAGATCTCTTTTATTTTTTGTTTCCGAGGAAATTACGGGTTATGGGATCAATTGTTGGCTATTAAATGGGTATATGAAAATGCTCATTTATTCGGTGGTGATAGAACACGAATTGTTCTTGCTGGTCACTCGGCTGGTGCAGGCAACGTTATGTTATTACCAGCTAGTCCTTATTGTCATGGTATGATCAGGCGTGTAATATCGCAATCCGGTACAGGTTTAGCTCCATGGAGTATTAATCATCATCCAATGAAATTAATACGACGATTTTCAACAGAATTTGGATGTAAACATTTAGAAGAAAATGAAATGTTACAGTGTATATATAAGCTATTACAAGAGAAAGACGCTGACTTCTACCGTTTACATCTGAGTTTAAATATAGGTAAGAGAATTTAATCGACAATCTGTAGTAAATAAGTAATTTTTATTTAACAGCGGATGATAATCCTTATCCGGTAATTGACAATGATTTTTTGAATGATACATTAGAAAATACACTACAAAGCAATGCTTACCGAAACATTGACATAATGACGGGTGTTACACTAAACGAAGGTCTTTATTTTGCTGAATATCATATTGCACATTTTTTTAATGAACACTCTTCATCAAAAATGAAACGGCGAGAGGGTATTGTCAATGATCATAATGAAAATAGATTAAGAAAAAAACGTTCAATCAGAATGGAAGATAAACTTGCTCTATCATCGGATATTGAATTATCTCCATCAGTTAATGAAAACAAACCACAAGCACTACTAAAGAGTGATGAAATACATCCAATATTACACCAGGAAGAACAAAAAAGTACTTATGAGTCAAACATGTTTCTTCGTATAGATGCCTATAGAGCATTAAAACAATTTTCAGAAGCAAATTACATTGAACAATACTTAAAAGCAAATTTTCTTAATGGACACTGTCATTTGAATGATGTGCGCAAACGATATGAGACACCAGGTTAGTTTCATGTAAAGATAGTTTTTTTAACTAAAAAATTGAACATTTTGTATATAGGTAAAGACAACATTACAATTCGTTCACGATTATATATTGATTTAGTATCAGATTTAATGGTAAGATTTTCAGGAGTTAACTGTTGATTATCTGAGATGGAAATTCAATCTTTCTGTCATATTTAAGTTTAATTACCATATGGTTCGACTATTGAATATTTGTGCTAAAACACCAAATAGAAATGCTTCAATGTATACTTACATCTATTCTCATAAGCCAACATTTAAAGCCAAAAGTTTATTTCGTGATCATTTGAAAACGTTGCCCAGTGTTGTCGGACATTTTGCCGAACTAGATTATGTATTTGGTGTCCCACTGGCGAAAAATTATCCAAAAATACACAATAACGTTAATAAAATTCCGTACCCTTATTCTGATGAAGAACAAGAATTTAGTCGACAAATAATTCGATATTGGACAAATTTCATTAAAACAGGGTATGTAAATCAAGCTTAAGTCTATAGTTTAAAAGCTTTCTTTTTTCAAATTATCTTTCTTATTAGTAATCCCAATATCGGTTTACCAGTACCCATTCAATGGAACGAGTATACGGATGTGAATCGTGCCTACATCTATTTACAATTGAACGATATTCAAATACGACAAAATTATTTTGATTCAATGTATAGTTTTTGGTTTGAACGTTATGAAGAAGACAAAACTGGCTGTCCAATAATAAAAACAAGAAAGAATGTCTTTATTATTCTATTAGCGATATTAGCTCTAATAATATTTGGACTAGGATTGAATGTTATTTATCGTCATATTCGGAGAAAAAGTATTTTTAGAGGATATATTAATACATCATCAACAGCACCGCCATCTTTTCACAATAATAGTGCAATTATTCTCACTGATCATCACAGTACACAACCGCTGGTTACTTCGTCACATGTGACGATATAAAACTAACTTTATTAATTTATTTTAGTCCTCGAAATTATTTTCTTTTTTTGTGATGTAACAGTACCTTCTTTATCTTGAAGGCTTGATAATAATTTTTTAAAATAAAGCAGAGGAATAAACACTTAACAACACAATACATATTTACATTATTGATAAACAACATTGGTTCCTGATGGTTGATGTTTTTGATAATAGCGAGAAGGTTGAGACTCTTCAACATAGACAATGTTTGATCGTGATGATTTTGGTACTATTGGCTCATTTTCATAGACGTATTCAACATATTCAACGGGTTGTTCGTCAACATATTCAACATATTCAACCGGTTGTTCGTCATCGTCGACATAAATGACTTCTTCGTGATATGCAGGTCTAGACGGTGTACGATATCGGCGATTTGTTGTGGGTGCAGTTACATATTGTACACCCGGTGGTTCGTCGACATAAACAACATCCGATTGATGTGGACTGTTTTCATTCATATAGACATATTTCGGTCGAGACCGATGAGGAACTGAACGATTTTGATTGTTAATATAAACGACTTTTGTTGGTCGTGACGATTGGTTCGAATCAACGTAATAGGAATCAGGTTCATGTATGAATTGATCATTGTTTCGAACTAAGCGACGTTCATTTCTTTTTACTGATGGTTGTTGGACAATAAATGTTCGTCGTGGTTTTCGTGAACTTTCATTATCAGAATCGGAATCAGTTCGGTAAATTTGTCGACTGTTATATTGACGACGAACAGGAGGTGGTGATACTTTCGACTAAAAATAGAGTGCACAGTATATAGTTGTTGGGTTTTGAATTTTTAACGCGAAAGACTAAAGAAACTTTGTTATTCTGTTTTTTCAATATTGTAGATTTTTTTTCTTCTGAAACTAATGTGACAGATGCAGTTAACTAGAACAAGATGCTTCTGATATTTGTCGAAAAATTATGTTTATAAGAAAGAAAATTTTAAGAACTATAACGACAAATTTTTTTAAACAATCAATAGCAACAAAATTTCAGAAGTCACTGTTTGATTAATCAATTCTTTAAATCGATGTAACAGTTATCATCAACTAACAATTATCTTCATTTAAAACATCTTCAGTTTGCTTCGATGTATATTTATTCAATTTCTATGGATGTCAATTTTTTCCATCGAATGTGTCTTGATAATCTTTGTCTGAAAGTATATATTGACTTCATGGCTACGTGACGATGATGATAATGATTTTTCATCCAGCTGAGTCCCACTTTTCATAATGGAATGAAAGTCCATGAATTTTTATATATAATTCTTTGTGTAATGTGATCAGCGTCTTCCGATTTTAATATTTCTTTCTTGATTTTGTGAAGTAGACTATCGGGTAATAGTACAACATGAAGATACCCACAGACATCTACAGACAGCAAACAGACATTCACAGATAGCCACTGACAGAGACACCCATAAACAACTCAAAATAACTACAGAGACATTCACTTCTGTGTCGCTCCCATGCCCGTAGAAGTGGATGTCTGTGTAGCTGTCAGTGACTATTTGTGGATGTCTGTGTCCTGTATGTAAGCGTCTGTGGGTATCTTCATGTTTTACTATTACCCGTAGACTATCTTTTCTAAGTATCGAATCGGGTTGAGTTTGATATTGATGAAGAGGTAGATGAAGAATATAGATCATTAAAATAGGGATAATACGTTTATCAAGAATTAATAGTCAAAGGAGAGAAAAGAAAATTGCACTATGTGGGTGGTATTATTGTGACGATAAAAACACCAACATCCGATATCATATTTTATTGATGAATTAGATTAGAATTAGGTGGCAGAAGCAGAGCTATTAGTCCCATTACTCACCGGTGGAGGATCAAGGTACGTTACATGATCATCGTCGTCGGGAGTTCTATTATATTCTACTAGTTGATCAGAAAATCGTACAGGTTTTCGTTGCTCATTGTTACTTATACTATTATGTTTTAATATTGTTTTATGAGTATAATTAACATCGCTGTTTTTGGTGTTATCTTTTTTTAATTCATGTGCTACAACTTTTGTTTGTTTTTGAAGGACATTCGGTTTGTTTTTTGGGGTTAATGAAGTTAATGATGATTTAGTTTGATTGTTGCTGTTATTAGTTGGTTTGTTTCTCACCACAGCCGTTGTTGGCCTGGTTGTTTTCTGTTGTTTTGATTTAGAATCTGCTAGCGATTGTTTTATTTTCGGAAGCGTATAGGGTGGTAATGATTTTGTATCACGTTTTGGTATGGTAAATGTATCTGATCGTTGTTGAAATGGAACTCCAGTTGATTTTGTTTGCGTTTCCTTAAATTGATCATAATAATTTTTTGCCATTTTTCTTTTTCATCCATTTAAATCAACTTGTTTGAACATTTATGTTAAATACATGGTTACAACATAAATAACTTTAGTCACTCCTTTTCTCTACCGCGATGAAGATTGTACATTATGTATTTGAATAAATAAACACTTTAAACAATCTCTGTTTTGATTAAACAATGCTTTCTCTCTTCCTCTCTCATTTTCTCTTCTGTTATAAATTCCCGTTTGTATTATGTTGTGTTACTTAAACTACGACGAATAATATATGGATTTTTAAACAGAAAAATTAATAAAAAAATATGTTCTCAACAGCAGAGAGAAAAAAGTATTTTTGTTATCCATTCAAGATAGTCAATCATTTGCATCGTTATACACTTGATCTAATTTCATTAAAGAAATATGTTTTAAGATATAATTATAAACTAATCTGAGTTGTAGAATGAAAATTTGATTCTTCATCAGTATCTAGGCGGTCATAAACTTCTTCTATTATATAGTAAATTGGCGAAAAAAGCAAATTGAATAATTTACTTGTTCTCTAGATGAAAAGAGAGTGTAATTTTGATTATATACCTTTAATATTCTAATAGGTTGTTCTATACGTATTGTTGTTGGATAATTGTACGGATAATACCCGAAACCACTAGATATTGGCATAAAAGCTTTATCAGTTATACAAATGCTATCGCGATCAGAGTTTAGTGGAATATTATCGATGATTAAATTGTATGATTTGAATGATTGTGTTGGTTTTAGCCGATTAAAATTATTTGCATTAATAAATTGAGAAGTTATATGAAATAGAATGCAATATAAAAGAATGACAAACAAAATACAGAAAATAACTACCTTTGAATATGTGTTGTTACTTCCTAAATAAAAAAGAAAAAATATTTTCAAATAGAAACATCATTTTTAAAACATCAATTTATCGAAGTAAAGTAGTGTACGAGTTACCTGTCTATGAGGAAATTGATTTTCAACTGGTAAGTCAACTGCACTATGATTTTGCTTAGATATGAAATGACCTGGTGCCGATTTTTATGTATTTATATAGAATAATTCTTTCATCATGCTGTTCAATTGTTTCTTTTGGAATGTTCTTTTTCGCCTTTGTTAACGGAAACTGTATACCATTTATATAATCCTCTCTGACGATTTGTATTTTTTTTCACCGTCATTAAGTTTACTTTTGTCAAAAAGTTGTCATATTTTTATCTAATACTATGAGCTTATTTCAGTCATAGAATTAAATTTAAAAGAAAAATGATTGTTGTTTTTTTGTCATCGCTGAAGGCAACTTACAGTCTCAGCATGGAATGCCAAAAAAAAATATTTTGCAACAAGAACGACTTATGTATGGAATTAGATTTTTGTTTTGATTATAAAAAGACAAATAGCGCGAAATAGTTATAAATATCCAACTAAAAGCTTAGATTTTAAAAGAATTTAAAATTGAATAAATCGTCCATATAGATAAACATCAATGTACGTACTCCGGAATATGACGATAAGGATTTCTCCATGTTCATATAACAGGAACACCGAGAAATGTAAAGAAGTATTTAAAAAAAATTTTCTAATCGCAATAAAACTTTGCTAATCATATGAGTGGTGGTGTATGCCTTATGCGAAATGTAGAGGCAGTTTGTCATCCTGAAAATGATCACTCTTAACAAGTAATTGCCAAGAACGATCGCCTAGCTTTTGGTGAGGGATGAGAATTGCTGATACCATTAGAAGAAGGAAGATCAATGAGGTTAAGAACCTCATTCTACAAATATTTTTTCAATGTCTGTCGTTATACTTAATATGGTCATTAATACAATTTTGTATGATTTTTAATTTATAAACTATGGTAGCATACTTTGTGTTTCGAAGAAGAAACGTATTAAGAAGACTGTTCGTAATAGAAACAGTCACCGAAGCGTTTTCAGATTGTGTACCATTTGTGAAACAATTTATTGCAAAATGTGGTACAAGATTGGTACTCATATTATGAGGTTGATTACTACAACTGTTAGATTTAAGTAATACCGGGTGCCCCAAAAGTCCAAATGAAAAACAAACTTTAATAACTCCGTCATTTTTTCACTTAAACTTCAAGGTTATTTCTTTGCTTAATGGAGAAAAGTTTCAAGTTTTATTTGATTTTAATTTCACCATGTTATTGACATTATTTGGTGATCGTCTTAACGGTAAATCACATCTGAATATATTAGAAATTAGAAATAATCTTTTTTTTAAATTTTAGGTACCGATGAGGAGAATGTAATATTGAATGCATTCAAAAATTTTGA